TTAGTATACTTTGAATTAATAATTATTAAGAGTTGACATTGCTTTTAACTTTGCTTTGTACAAAACTATCAAAATGAGCTTTATTTGCACCACTTTAAATAGTGGCGATAAGTCATGGTATAGGTTTGAAGGTTTGCCTATACCTCAAATTCTTTCTTTATTTTCTTTTTTTTTGTCTATGCAGTAGTGTGTGTTAGTTAATGTAGAACAATCGCTGCTGTAGTAGATCATTTATAATTTATAGAAATATTAGTCTATCGAGGTGCGAAATAAACATTATTTGTTGTTTTTGCCCCCCCCCCCCCCACCAAACGGAAGGCATTTTTTTAAATCCCGCCACTGAAATTAAGTGATGTAGTTATTTTACTTATGAAATCTAATAAAATAAATGTAAACCTGTCAGAATAGGTCGTGATTATTTTAAAACAACATATAATTTAATTTTTAACACATTATTTACTAGCTCCAACAGGGCGTGCATCCAGGTACCATTATATTTTATTGCTAACACACATATTCTCAAATTATCTGACGACCAGACAAAACATAAAAAAACTAATTGTTTATTGATTATTAAAAGTAATTAGTCACGTACGTCCCTGTAATGAGTAGATGTCTTAGTGTTAGCACTTGATTTTCAAAATTCAATTAAGAAATTAACGATGTTTTGTGTGTTTGTGACAATTGAGAATCACACTGCATTGCAGTAGGACTAGGTCCGAATGACCCATGACGTCGATTGATGTTCATTGAACTCGTATTTTGAAGCTCACCCTATGAGGCATTATTTTGTTTTCAATGTTTTCGTTAAATTGTTGCAGGGGCAGAACTACCATACTGCCAGACCCCGCAATGCGCTTTGGGAGGAGGGGAGGTGGTGGTTTAGACCAGTGGTTCCCAACCTTTTTCGAATGGCGACCCCCTTTTATAAAAAGTAAGTGACCCGCGACCCCCCCCCCCCCCCCCATAGAATTAAAAAGCCGAAATTATTATGGAAATTAATAAGCACTAAAATAAGATTTTCTAGTAGACTTTCAATATAAACTACTCTTGATAACAGTTTTAATAGCATGAGTAAAATTGCATACTATTTATTAAACCTTAGTGGTTAAGTTTTTAATCTAAAAAAAAATTTGTTAACGCCAACCTATGTCATTATAAGTATCTTAATTTTGTTTTTAATCGAAGAATAGTGTTGAAAATATATTATCGAAAAGTCAATCAATTTTACGTTTGGGTATGAATGATGAATACTACACCAAAATTGTGTCTGCAGTTTTTCATCTTACTCGGAATCATTCTGCAAATCAAAGAATTCATCTTGTAATTTATCGGGAATGCTGGCAACATCAAGGGAAGAAGAGAATGGGTAATGCGTAAATGCAGATTCTTCTTTTTTCAGCTCAGAGAAATAACAATGGAGTTCGTTTTTAAGAGATTCAAGATGCCCACAAATTGCATCTTTCAAAATTTTAATTAGATCTATCTCACAATCAAATTCATCTACCACACTGCAGAGTTTCTCAAATTTACAATATTTCCAAGATTTATTTTCTTTACCGATTTTGCAGCTTTGATAAAAATGACCCGAGATTATCATGGAAAGTTATAATATTCGTTAATTTTCCCTAAAGCTTCAGGTTAAGCTTATCTTGATGTTCGAACACATCTGCTAGGTATGATACTCTCTCCAACCACTCTATGTCGTTTTAAGTATACCAAAAAGTCTTGTTTCCTTTGCACTTCCAAGAACAATTTGATTTCAGATTTTAATTCAAAAACACAATTTACAACATTTCGTTTGACAGCCAGCGTACTGTAGTGTAGATGAGCAGAACCTCGTGATCTATATTAATGTTTTTGCTCCGTTCTTTGAAGGCTCCACTCCAGATTTTATATAATTTACGACTTATACTAGCAATGGACTCTTGATGTCGATTGGTTAGGGCAGTGGTTAGGGAGCTAAATCTTTTCTGTTTTCTGAAAGCCCGATTTTGAGCTAAACATAGATGGCGCACCATCCGTACAAACCCCCACATCCGTTCTAACCCATTTTAATCATCCAGTTTCAAAAAGGTATATATTTTCTCCATGCTATTTTCACAAAAGAGCAACTCTTCTTTGCTATCATCCGCATGAATATAGACACAGACCAGCAACTGCGAACACGAACTCACGTCTGTTGATTTATCAACTTGAAAAGAAAACAATGGTGAAAGCTTAATTTCAATAAAAATGTGTTGTTTAACATTTACGTACATGCAGCGTTTGATGAGATTTTCTCCTATTGTTTTTTTTTTGTTTTTTGCTTGGCATTTTCTATCGCGACTTCATTTAATGCTTGCACTAATGCTGGTGAAAACTTCCTGTTCGATCAAGTCTCTGGCGTTTGCAACTAGCTTCTTACCGACGAAAGAACTCCATATATTTTAGTTTTAGTTTTGAAGATTTCATAGATTCGTGACTGAGAACAACTTTGTACAGTGCGCTTTGTTTCTTCTCTTTTACATTTCCAGTGATGTTTATGAATCCGAATTTCAATAATTCTTCTAAATATTTATGGTTAATTTCAAATTACTAAGGTTTAGTATACCAGTTGGCGACCCCCCAGAAAGACCTTCGCGACCCCCAGGTTGGGAACCCGTGGTTTAGACGGATAGGGGTTCAAAAATAGTCGCCAACTATTTTCTAAAAAACTCGTGGTGGATGTTAAATTTGCTTTTTTTTTCCGTTTTCAGTGAAAGGCTCGCTGTCATCTAAATCATTCTTTGAAAAAAAAACAAAGTCCACAGCTCGAAAGGCCATAGTTAGTCAATTTTTATGACGTACGGTTTGTTGCGTCAGGGGCTCGATAACGATTTGAAAAATGTATGTAAAAATGTATTACATTTTTACAATGTTAAACAAACTGTAATTTTAAGAGAACTACTGTGCTTCACAAATAATTCAAAAGAATATAAATTTAGTATCAATTATTTAAGTTTTATGTACTTATACTTGTTTTCGTTTTTACAACGATTAGTACCAGAATGTTTTTTTTTTAACTTTCTACATTTACATTATCTCCCCTGAGTTTTGATACTGTAACGGCGAGTCGGCTACCAACATAAAAGTCGGCTCTATTGATGCCCGCTATTGATGCCCGCTATTGATGCCCGCTATTGATGCCTGCTATTGATGCCCGCTATTGATGCCCGCTATTGATGCCTGCTATTGATGCCCGCTATTGATGCCCGCTATTGATGCCCGCTATTGATGCCCGCTACTGATGCCCGCTATTGATGCCCGCTATTGATGCCTGCTGCTGATGCCCGCTACTGATGCCCGCTACTGATGCCCGCTATTGATGCCCGCTATTGATGCCCGCTATTGATGCCTGCTATTGATGCTCGCTATTGATGCCCGCTATTGATGCCCGCTATTGATGCCCGCTATTGATGCCCGCTATTGATGCCCGCTACTGATGCCCGCTATTGATGCCCGCTGCTGATGCCCGCTACTGATGCCCGCTATTGATGCCCGCTATTGATGCCTGCTATTGATGCCCGCTATTGATGCCCGCTACTGATGCCCGCTATTGATGCCCGCTGCTGATGCCCGCTACTGATGCCCGCTATTGATGCCCGCTACTGATGCCCGCTATTGATGCCTGCTATTGATGCCCGCTGCTGATGCCCGCTACTGATGCCCGCTATTGGTGCCCGCTATTGATGCCGGCTATTGATGCCCGCTACTCATGACCGCTATTGATGCCCGCTATTGATGCCCGCTGCTGATGCCCGCTATTGATGCCTGCTACTGATGCCCACTACTGATGCCCGCTACTGATGCCTGCTATTGATGCCCGCTATTGATGCCCGCTATTGATGCCCGCTATTGATGCCCGCTATTGATGCCCGCTATTTATGCCGGCGTACATAGGCTTTGTTGTCCGCTTCTTTCTACTTTCTGCCCCAGCCCCACCCCCACCTCTTATCATCACAAGCAACAAAACGATAGGCATAAATGAATTGTTTATCAATTAGACTACCAAACATTCCCAACTTCGGCAAATCTTGTCAGCGGATCTACGACAAATTCCCGAAAGAAATTTGCCCGAATGCCGTTTTCCCGAAGGCCGTTTTCCCGCATGGACACTTGCCCGAATGCGAAAACGCATTATTAGACCCCAGTGAGACAAATGCCCGAATGGAACCGTGCTCGAATGCGACGATAAAACTTTTATTGAACTTGGGGCTATGAAGAGTTTAGAGTCACACACTGACTTTACGTGCATTAAGAATTTTAAAATTTATTTTTATCTATGATTTATATCGAATTGTTAATTCAAAACAATTCGACTGTTCAATTATTACGTTGATGACCCCCATCCCTTATAATTTTTTAAGTATTACATAAACTTGACATATTTATTACTACGAGAACAGATATATTTTAATCAAATGTAAAGATAATTCGGGGGTGAAAACAAAACGGCAAGTGGGCCACTAGGTATATTTGACTAAGTTTTTTTTATTGATTTTGTAAATTCTACATAACTTTATGCTTTTTGTAACAAAAATATTCGTTGCCTTTTTGTAAAAAGTCGAAATGAAGGGGGCGTTTTTATCGGGAGCCAAATGACGGCGTCAATTTTTCGCTAATCCTTTTCTTGGGTAGACTTGATTGACTTCTTTTGCTGAGACCTTTGTGTCGGGGCTGTTTTGACGCCGCACGAAAATATTCATTATAGAAAAGAAAGAGTTATATATTCAACTCGTATTTTCTCATATTTCCACGGCTTTATTAAAAATTCTAAAAATATTAAGTGACACTAGATATTTGCGTCGTTTAGACAAATAGCTAAAATAATAGTACAACATACAATATTATGTTCGTCAGAGTATTTATAATTTAAAGTTGTTGGCCAGATGAGGGCCGCAGGACGAACTAGATAGAACACACATAAAAATAGTATTATATATCGATGAGTCCAATTAAGACTCACGTCATTTGTTTCAGCGCTGTATGACTACATCCATGGGGACTCTAAAAATGTCTGCTGGTGCTTTTGTTCTAGTGTTGGCTGTCAACTTCTTTTTGTGTTCTGGTAAGTTTGTGAATTTCTTCACTTGATTTAACTTCATAAATTAGTATTTTAATTTATTTTTAGAACTAAACAAGTATTCGCAAATACCTTTACTCCTCTTTTAAACATAAAACCATTTCACACCTGATAATCTAGCACTGCCGGGTTAAAGAAGATTGAGACTAAACAGCTCGTTTTTTTCGTTTTTTGTTTTTTTACACAATATTACATTGTCACAAAGGGAATCCACTGCGTAATTCACCGGTATGCCCTCACAAGGAGGACTCTTCCGACTCTATTGTCTGTCAACAGGAAATTTTGTGAATCGTGTTTTTAATTTACACCAGTATAAATGTCAAGTATATTTTACAAATAATACAGGAGACACGACAATGCTAGAGAAAAGAACAACGTCTTATGAAAGAGAGAAAATCAAGAAATCTGTTTTGTTGCTGAATTTAAAAGCTGAAACTTTGAACTACGTGAAAACTGTGGACACAATGGCTGACTTTCTGAAATCGTTTGAAGACCCATGAAAACTAAAAGGTGCAGACTTGTCAATGTCCTTACAGATGTCACATTCTGGTAGAGATGGGTACAGTGACGATACGGCTCAGATTCCATCACCTACAGAGTTAAACAACAGTAACCTCATAGAACACATGCAAACAGTGAATGACAAACTTAGAGCAATTGACGTAAAGCTCAACGAGACCATCACAAGGAACAACCAAACAAACCGAATGATAGAAGCTTTAAACACAACTATTCAAGAGATGAAAAACGACTACGACGTCAATCATGAGTTGTCACGGATGACACTGCTGGTAATTGTTTTATTTCGACATAAATTATATTAAATGAATTAGCACTGTTAAGTGTTTAATGCAGAATTATATCAACCAATATTATATTTTTATAATAGTGCAAAAAGAACGACAAAACTGATGTACCAGAACGAACGACCGTCAGACTTGGTCTAGACAAATTGGCTTTGTGCGACACAAAAACTGACGGTGGAGGTTGGATCATTATTCAGGTTGGTAAATTTAATGCGTTAAATTGTTTTTGAAAATTTTTATCTTGTGTTAAAATAGTTTATCAATATCTTGTAAAATATCGTATTTCAGAGACGTGTTTTGGGTGATGTGAATTTTACGAGAGATTGGGACGCCTATAAAAACGGATTTGGTTCATTGTGTGACCTACTTAGGTCGAGTCAGGTTCTATTTTTATTTTGACATTGTATAATTCCTTATATGGAGTTGTTGTGCAACAACCGGAAAATTTCCACTGACTTATTAAGGGGTCTAAGACATAGAAATTTTCCATTAAGATCTGATTGAATGATTCTGGTCAGATGACTATCCCAACCAATGGCTACATGAGTTGAGGATAATCTCCCCTGTTGCAGAAGTCTTTAATTGCCCCGCACTCTCGCAACACGAGGCAGTCTACAGGCAGTCTACAGGGCGATTTTACCTTGATCAGACCAGGCCGTCCATATTGTCCGGCTATAGACTCTGACCATTTGAACGTGAGAGAAATTAAGTCCTGTGTGTGCCTTGCTTTCTTAAGTTGATTTAGGCTTCTAGTATAATATTACTCGTCGCTGAGTTATTCCAGAAGCTATAGCAGTGTGTGTGGCCTGTAGTTATTTAGACAGTGTAGAAATCTGTGATAGTGTTTTTCCTACATTTTGTAAGTTGAGTTTTGATATTTTATACATTAAATATTTTAACTAGTTCAACCTTGTGTTTTGCCACAACTGTGTTCGCTGATTAAAGTTGTATGTAGATTGGATGAGTGTTAATTACAATAGTAACACTAGTTTACCCTAGACATAGAATTCGAGCCCTAGTGTGCCGTTGTGTTAGTGTTCATCCACTTAGGCCGTAAGGCATTTGCATATGATCCCGAAAAAAGAATCCGGGGACGTTCACCGTCTATTTGGCTGATAGATAGGGGACGTTACAAAGTGGGGGCTCGTCCGGGATTTAATCTGTCGTTCCAGTTGTTGGTCATATCAGTTAAATACTAAGGTTAGTTGGATTTAGTTGTTTTTATATCCAGTAGCGCAGTGTTCTTACAACGCGCGCAAGCATAGAATTATCTAGGTCAATTGTCAGACGTGCCACGTCCTAGATTGAAGAGGTCAAGTACACGGCCCAACGCACCGTGTTAAGTTAGTGAACCTAGGCTTGTTGTGATTTGAAAGTTAGTGTTATGGAGTCTTTTTTGGCTAATCCTACTTTTGAAGAGGTCGAGAAGTTGAGTAGAAAAGTTTTGGTTAGTGTTGTTAAGGAATTGAAATTGGATTATTCTGTTACGCAGAAGTCAGAGGTGTTGAGAGATAAAGTTGTTGTTCATTTTATTAATGAAGGGGTATTTGATGAAAGTTTGTTGGCGGATGTATTACTCCGCGAGGAGAAATCTCTAGAAGAGAGAGAGCTTTTATTAAAAGAAAAGGAGTTAGAGGCTAAAATTGCTTTAGATAAGAGGAGGTTGGAATTAGAGTTTGGTCAAGTTAGTGATGTCACTTCTCCGGTAGATCCAAAAAAGTTGTCGGTAGGGCAAGTGATTGCCAAATTTGGGAAATTAGTTCCTAAATTTGATGAAACAGATTTGGTCGTTTTCTTTAACTCATTTGAGAGTTTAGCGAAGACATGTGAATGGCCCGAAACTTCCATTACTGCTTTATTGAGTTCGGTCCTTACTGGGAAAGCTGCAAAAACATACCAGGCACTCTCTCACGACGTTCAAAATAACTATAGTTTGGTCAAGACTGCCATTTTGAAGGCCTACGCACTGACGCCCGAGGCCTATCGGACAAAATTCCGAACACTCCGCAAGTCACCCACTCAATCATATGTGGAATTTCTCTTTGAAAAGGAGAAAATATTCTCAAGGTGGCTACACTCTGAGGAAGTTTCTGAGTTTGAGAAACTCAGGTCACTTATCCTAAGGGAAGAATTCCTATCGTCCCTGCCTGAAGAGATACGACTACACATACTGGATAACAAGATAACTGACATCCAGAAGGCTGCTGAGTCGGCTGACACATATATGTTGGTGCATAAGAAACCACCAGTGTCAGGAAACCGCCTCAACCCTGTGCTTCCCCTTTTTGGCAGCAATCCTCCTGTTGGCCAACACGTGAAGGCATTACAGTCCAGAGAGAAACCAAGATCAACTCTCAATCGTCGAGCAGTATGCCAGTTCTGCAAAAGGCCTGGTCATCTTGTCAAGGACTGTTACAAACGTCGTCAATATAACAGAGAGGTGGTGCGTACTTCTGCGCACTATGCTCTACCCCCTCAAGCAGCCAGTTCAACTATGAACTCTAGAATTCTAAAGGACTCTAACCCTAAGTGTCCGCAAGAAGGTAGTCAAGTCTCCACACATTATGTGCAGTCACATTTTGACTGTTCTCGCCACCATCCAGTTTCTTCCGAGTCTACCGATCTCGAGGGATCGAGAAAAGTTGACTTTTCATCTTTTATTGCCGAAGCCATCATTAGCAAACCAGGTGATCCGTTGTCTCAGCGGAATATCACCGTCCTAAGAGACACAGGAGCGTCACAATCACTCCTTTTGAAAAGTTCAATGGACATTACACCTGAGACGAACACCGGAAGGATTTCCATTATCCAGGGAGTGGGGACAAAATCTACTGTAGTCCCTCTACACAAGTTTGCCCTGAAACATCATCTCGTCGAAGGTGAGGTCATTTTAGGTGTGATAGATAGTATTCCTGTCCCAGGAGTACACCTACTTCTAGGGAATGACCTTGCGGGAAGCAAAGTATACCCCTGTACGGTTTCAGACCCTTTGTCAACAGTTCCAGATAATGATAATGAACTGTATCCTGCATGCGCGGTGACAAGAAGCCAAACCAAACAATTGGCTGACATAACGTCTGAACCACACCTACCATCATCGTCAAGAAATTCGACTCCCAAATTGGAGTCTAAGCTTCCAGAAAACACAAGCCTGGGCTTACCCCTGAGGATATCTCAGGACGACATCATTAAAGCTCAACAAGTCGACGCAGAACTCAAAGCAACGGTCGAAAAATCTCTATCATCTGACGATGGAGAATATTTCTCCGAGAACGGCCTCTTCTTTCGTCGCGCTATACCAGTGATTGCCTCACCAGCCGAACCATGGTTGGGTAGAAACCAGCTGTGGGTCCCTCCACCTTATCGGCATGAAATACTTAAGCTGGCACATGACCATCCAATGTCAGCGCACCCAGGAGTCACTAAAACGACGGCGAAGATCAAAGAACTGTTCTTTTGGCCCAGAATGAGAAAAGATGTGTCGCGTTACTGCAGAAGTTGCTCGAACTGTCAGTTGGCCGGAAAGCCAAACCAGACAATTCCTAGGGCCCCTTTGAGTCCGATTCCTGTATTAGAAGAACCCTTTTCAAAAATCGTCATGGACTGTGTAGGTCCCTTGCCTAAAACCAAGGCGGGCAACGAGTACCTACTTACCTTTATGTGTTCAAGTACCCGTTTTCCCGAGGCGATTCCCTTACGGAACATTAAGGCAAAGACTGTAGTCAGAGCCATGACCCGGTTCTTCACTACCTTTGGATTACCTAGAATCGTGCAAACAGATCAAGGCAGCAACTTCACCAGTCACCATTTTCAGGAAGCACTAGCCAAGCTAGGCGTTACCCACATCACCAGCTCAGCCTACCACCCTCAGTCTCAAGGCGTACTTGAGAGGTTCCACCAAACCCTCAAAACCATGCTAAGAACGTTCGCTAACAGTAACACCCAATGGGATGAGACTGTTCCTTGGATTATTTTCGCCGCGAGGGACTGTGTCCAGGACTCTTTAGGCTACTCGCCTTTTCAACTTGTGTTTGGACATTCTGTCCGTGGCCCCCTGAAGCTGATACACGAACGTTGGACAGGTACCAGTGATCATCCTGTGGAAAACTTTGACGATTTTCACGTTCGACTGAAAGCCGTGTGCGAAATGGCTCACAAGAACTTAAGAAAGGCCCAAGTGAGAATGAAAGGACTGTATGATAAGAGTTCTTGTAAACGAACATTCAATCCAGGCGACAAAGTTCTTGTGCTAGTGCCTAATCTGAACAATGCGTTATCCTTGAGATATGGTGGACCCTTTACTGTGCATTCAAAATTAAGTGATTTGAACTATGTTGTCAATACGCCCGACAGAAGAAAGAAACAGACAGTGTATCATGTTAACTCACTGAAAAAGTATTATGATAATTGTAACAATTTTCATTCCACAGCTAAAATTACTTTACCTGTATGTTCAAATGTTTCTGATGATGTGATACATGATAAATTGAAACCCCCAAAATTGGTAAATTCTTCCTTTTTAGATAATTTGAATGTCCACCTTATGCATTTGTCCACAGAGGAAAGCCATAGATTGTCTCAGTTATTTGAGACATTTCCCTCTATTTTGGGGATGTCCCCAAAGAAGCGAAGGTTCCACCTCATGATGTAGACGTAGGTGACGCAAAACCCATTAAACAACACCCCTATAGAGTTAACCCGGAAAAAGCTGCTTTGATAAAGGATGAAATTGACTATATGCTCAAGAATGATATCATTGAGCCCAGTTTCAGCAACTGGAGTTCCCCATGTCTCCTAGTACCGAAAGACGGTGGATCTTTCAGGTTTGTGACCGACTTTAGGAAGGTGAATGCGCTCACCAAAGCTGATTCCTATCCATTACCTCGGATAGAGGACGTTATTGATAAAGTTGGTCAGGCTAAGATAATTTCCAAAATTGATTTACTTTCAGGATACTGGCAAATCCCCTTATCTGACCGTGCAAAAGAAATATCTGCTTTTGTAACCCCTAATGGTTTTTATAGATACAAACGTATGCCTTTTGGTATGCGCAATGCTGGTCAAACTTTCCAGAGGGTCATTAACTCTGTCATTGCTGACATAGACCAATGTGAGGCCTACATAGATGATATAGTTGTATTTTCTAATACTTTTGAAGAACATATTGTTCAGTTGACTAACCTTTTTAGAAAATTGTCTGAAGTGAATTTTACTGTAAACTTACATAAAAGTGATTTCTGTAAAGCTTCAATTACCTATTTGGGTTATCAAGTGGGAACGAACCAAGTTCGGCCCATTGAAGCTAAAGTAGATGCTATTGTAAGGTTACCACCTCCCAAAAATTGTAAAGAGATCAAAAAGTTCCTTGGGATGGCTGGTTACTATAGACGGTTCTGTCAAAACTTTTCAGCTATTGCTGAACCTCTTACTGCATTATTGAAAAAGGGTGTTGAGTTTAAATGGTCAGATAAATGTCAAGAAGTTTTTTTAACCATTAAGTCATTACTATCTAATGCTCCTGTTATGGCTGCGCCAGATTTCAGCAAGCCCTTTAAACTTGCCATTGATGCTAGCAACTTAGCCATTGGCTCAGTCCTATTTCAAGAAGACAACATGGGAATTGACCATCCCATTGCCTTTTTTTCCAGGAAGTTAAATGAAAACCAAAAGAATTATTCTACTATTGAAAAAGAGGCTTTAGCTTTGGTTTTGTCATTACAACATTTTGAAGTCTATGTCTCTTCTTCAACCAATCCAGTCAGAGTGTTTTCTGACCATGATCCCCTGAAATTTACCTCTAAGTTAGGACAGACAAATCAAAGAATATTGAGGTGGTGCTTATATTTCCAAAATTTTAATCTGGAAATTTCACACATTAAGGGTAGTGATAATGTTGTGGCTGATTGTTTGTCAAGGATGTAAAATCTTATTGCACACATTAATCATGTGACATGTTTTGTGGTTCATTAAGACCACACACAAGTGTTGTGTTTTAACATGGAAATGAGTGGTATGATTTTTGATTTTTTACAAAATTCCAATTCTATTGAATATTTTGTTTATTTCCAGGTGAACCTTAATTAAAGGTGGTTTTTGATTCTATGTAATCTTTTATAATAATATGTCTCTTATGACTCAATTGATATTGTAGCTAGTCATTGAAATAAAGGTCTTACCCTGGCGGGTTTACCACTTTTAATATCCTCATGGAAAAATTGTAATACCCTTTTTTGAGGGATTTTGATGTATAATTACTTTTTGAAGGGTTACTTCCCTTTTACCAATTGTAAAAGTTGGAGTTACTTCCCTTTTATGTTCAGGGATATTTTCATCTGGTATTATGATTTTGATTGCCTACATTTGTAAAACATTTTTTTTATTTCATTGCCAGATTGGTTCCTTATGTATGTTTTTGTGGAACCTATCTGTCACTTCCAAAAAGGGAGGGGATGTGACCTACTTAGGTCGAGTCAGGTTCTATTTTTATTTTGACATTGTATAATTCCTTATATGGAGTGATTGTGCAACAACCGGAAAATTTCCACTGACTTATTAAGGGGTCTAAGACATAGAAATTTTCCATTAAGATCTGATTGAATGATTCTGGTCAGATGACTATCCCAACCAATGGCTACATGAGTTGAGGATAATCTCCCCTGTTGCAGAAGTCTTTAATTGCCCCGCACTCTCGCAACACGAGGCAGTCTACAGGCAGTCTACAGGGCGATTTTACCTTGATCAGACCAGGCCGTCCATATTGTCCGGCTATAGACTCTGACCATTTGAACGTGAGAGAAATTAAGTCCTGTGTGTGCCTTGCTTTCTTAAGTTGATTTAGGCTTCTAGTATAATATTACTCGTCGCTGAGTTATTCCAGAAGCTATAGCAGTGTGTGTGGCCTGTAGTTATTTAGACAGTGTAGAAATCTGTGATAGTGTTTTTCCTACATTTTGTAAGTTGAGTTTTGATATTTTATACATTAAATATTTTAACTAGTTCAACCTTGTGTTTTGCCACAACTGTGTTCGCTGATTAAAGTTGTATGTAGATTGGATGAGTGTTAATTACAATAGTAACACTAGTTTACCCTAGACATAGAATTCGAGCCCTAGTGTGCCGTTGTGTTAGTGTTCATCCACTTAGGCCGTAAGGCATTTGCATATGATCCCGAAAAAAGAATCCGGGGACGTTCACCGTCTATTTGGCTGATAGATAGGGGACGTTACAATTGGTTGGAGATTTCTGGCTTGGGAATGACTGGATCTCTAACCTAACTTTGATGGTGAGCTTAAAAAAACATAATCTGTACATACAGGCTTAAGCTATATTTAAAAAGTTAAATATGTCACATGTGTTATACTTTCCAGGGATACAATGAACTGAGAATCGACATGACTCAAAAAGGTAAAAAGTACTACGCCCATTACGATCATTTCAAGGTAGACAACGAAGCAGCGTCGTATAAAATATCCTTCTCGTCATTCAGTGGAAATGTTTACGACAAACTAAGAGTTCATCATGGTATGAAGTTTTCTACCATCGACAGGGACAATGATATATACAGCGGAGATTGTGCTCGACAGAATAAAGGTGGTTGGTGGTATTATGCCTGTAAAGATGTAGATTTAAATGGTGTTTGGGGTACAACACACACTTCTACAGGAATATTCTGGGTTGATTTATCAAGTGATGGACATATCGCAGACTCAGTTGAGATGAAAGTACGTCAAGTGTAAACAATGTATCTGAAGATATTTTAAATATAGCTATAGCTTTAAGTTGGTGTAACAGAACTATTTTTATTAGACACATCTATTCACTCCACTGTTCTTCTTAAAGTGTGAAGCTACTATGTTCTGTAACTGAAGATTTCAAAGTAACACATGAGTTTTTGTGTGTTCATTTTTATAACGACAAAAAACAGCATCTGAATTACTGACGGTTACAGTTGAGAAATATATACAATAGTACAGTCAAATAGTGTATTGTCTATTATTTCTACAATAAAAAACGTTTTGCAACTGTCTCGATGGTTTCATTTTTGTTGCATAAAGTATTGCTTCACCTTTTTAAAATTCATATTACCTAATTGCTTTATTAGAAGCTCATCCATAAACGTAACACTTCTGTATGGAGGGGTTTGATCGAGGCATCTAGCGTTAGACTAGACGACGGGAAAAGGTTGAGAAGGTTTGAAGACACACATGCAAGATTTCCCAAACACAGGTATATACAAGTTATTGAACACACTATAGCACAGAGTAGCAAAATACAGAAAGAAGATAACAAGTTTAAATGAGTAAAACTCGACATTTAAACACAACCACGGTAAGACGCGATGAGTATACACCAAAGGTATGATGAAAACAGAAAAACACCAACAGTATGAAGAAAACAGAATTACCCCAACGGTATGAAAAAAAGCGTGGGTCACTTTAGTATCTATTGGATACCTATACTAATATTTAGGAAGAGACCCACGCTTTTCGTTTTAGTTATTTAAATATTAGTGTATAAATTATTTTCTACTTGTTAGTGCATTGTTACATAAAAGCTTGTTATTAAAAAGTTTTTTATAAAAAAAATATTTAGTGCTTTACATGTTTTATTTACACTAGAGTTGCATGACTAAAAACCACTGCGCACTTATTGAACGTAATGACGCCCTCTGACAACTGAGGCCAAGGTTGATGTGAGTGAGCTATCACCCACCTGAACTGCGACAGGAAGACATTAGTGTGAAGGGAAGAGTTGTACGGGTCGAATGGTAATTGTTTGAAATGGCTGGCGATGGGCTGACTTGAACCACACTTCCCCGCACCACCCACCTTAAGTCTGGTATGTAAATTTGGGAAAACACGTAATGTGATACCCTACTGTAATCGGAACAATGTAGAAGTTTGTTTTTTATGTCTGTACTAGTTACGGACTTTAGAAATGCTAGTCTTGTCTCGTAGGTCGAAGTAGTCGGATCAGTTCTATGTAAGCGCCCTTTTATTTTACAGTTAGCTCTACTTTGCATTAAAATACTTTAACTTCAGCGCGACTTTTACCATGCCCTACAGTTCATATAAATCGATATGGGCACAATTATTTTAATTGATATCACTACAATGTATTAAAAAAACAATACATTGATGCATATTCTTGAACGTGTCCTTATAATGTATCAAATGCAATATGTGCAGTCGTATTCTTTATTATATTCATATAATACATCCAAACGAATAAAGGATTCCCCTACAGTTTATAAAAAACAATATGAGTTTAATTACTCTGCAAATGTCCTTAAATTTACCCCATATTTCCCCCAATTTTTTTTAATTAAAAATTATGATGTGTATAACTACTGTATGGATGCCCTTCAAATATATTATATGAATATAAGCATACTTACTTCAAAGATGCCCCTGCAGTGTGTAAGAATAAGCATGGACATAATTACTCTATGGATCTCCTTGAAAAGTAGTATATCGAATATGGGCATAATTACTTTACTTTAAAGATGCCCCTACAGTGCATTGGAATTAATGGGCAAAAGTGTTCTAAAGATGCCCCTACACTTTACTAAAAAAATATCTGAAACACACTTTAATATAAAGACTGCATTTATTAAAGAAACATTAATTACTATTTATATACTAAAGCCCTCTTTTTTCCCTAAAAGTTGTGCTATACAGAGAATGATAGACGGTTGTGTATTACAGTTTGTTTTGGGTGAGATTAGTAAAAATAAATAAATAAATCAGCAGTCGGTGTGGAGCCAGATGAAAACTTATGATTATACCACATACCACAACTTTTTTCAATAACACAAAAAAATGAACCCAACCGGATTCCCACCTGAAGTGGATGCCCGGGGCCTGGCCCCCCCCCCCCCCCCCCCCCCCTCTGCACGCCACTGATCATCAGTAGCTAAAATTAGTACTGGTGAGACAAATTAGATTTTCTTTTGGTGGCATTTTCAAACAAATCTGAGTTGCTAATACAATTTCTGGATTTAAATTTTTTTTTAAATTTTTTTTAAAGTGAAAATTAATGTCCAGAAACTGTGTACTCTTGAATTTGCATTCTAAAAACCGTATGTTATATTACAATAGTCTTATATCCTATTAATTTATAAATCAGCTAACAGCCAGATATCAAACATTTCCTTTTTTTAAATTTTAGAATTTATATCACCGTGCTTTTTGAAGATTAATTTAATTATAAAATTCATAATTATTTTATAGATAAAAGAGTCACTTTAATGGTATTTAACCACATTTATTTTAATACATCATGAAAATAGAATTATTAATATATAGGGCACGTATATATTAAAAGTGTATATAATAATGTACATAGTGAACTAGAAGATAATACTTGAAAGGTAGAAATGGTAATCAAGTCAGACGGCATCATGAGTGGGGGTTTTTAATGTAAGCGTTTTATTGTGGTGAAAATTTTGTTTACTAGGAAATCCCGTCTTTGATTTTATATGAAAGCCAAGTTTTTGATAAACTGGTGTGTTAAATATAAAGACACGAAATGAATTCAACTGGCGATGTGTGGTTTCAAACTTCATAATGCTTGCACAGTGTGTCGACCAGTTCTGAAAAGATAATTATTATAAATTATGTAAGTTCTACATAAGGTGACTACATAAAAATATATTAAGTATATATATATATATATATATATATATATATATATATATATATATATATATGTGTGTGTGTGTGTGTGTGTGTGTGTGTGTGTGTTTGTATATGTATGTAGGTGTATACATATTGTATATATATAGAGAGAGAGAGAGATTGAGAGAGAGACACTTTAAACAGTATGTATTTTCTCTTGTATTTCAAGTAACAGATGTGGAATGGAGAAAATAGGCATGCTAATTTTATTTTCTGTACATAAATGTCATTTAACTCACATTATTGAGATGCCTTATATTTTATTTTATGACGGTTTGTAACAACATGATTTTAGAGGACGATTGGAGGGGAGGGGTGTTTCTTAGTTTAACTGATCATTAGCTCAGTCCCCAGGTAACGAGTGTTAGCGTTGACTAATTAAAGTTTACCTTGTTTGGAGATGATCCCGTTACCGTCAGTATCCATGGATTTGACCAGCAGTCGAATGTCGTTCGTGCCCAGGTCGCTCTTCTCGCGGATTATCGTGGAGTTCACGTTCATCAGGAGCTGCTCAACCTGGGGAAAGTTGATGTTCGTCAACAACAAAAAAATCTGGACAAAACACTGTGCAGCTAAATCCTCTGCTACTTTGTTAAATTAATGTAACATGATATGTAACGGTGTTGAATCTATACATACAAAAACGAACTAAATCAACGCCTAATGTAGAAATGTAGATCGCCTGCAAGTCGTCTGTTTTGGGAGTTGTGTGTGTTGAAGTCTGGCTAGCTGTGTTTTGCTAGATGGCAGTGCTACAGTCGACTGACACTGATGCTGTCTGACTGACAGCTGCTATGTTGCTTTCTGACTGACAGCTATTATACTATTGTCTCTCTGACAGCTAGAATGTTCATGTCTAGCTGACAGCTATTACGCTATTGTCTGACTGACAGCTAGTATGTTGTTGTCTAGCTGACAGCTAGTATATTGCTGTCTAGCTGACAGCTAGATTATTGTTGTCTGACTGACAGCTAGTATGTTGTTGTCTAGCTGACAGCTAGATTGTTGTTGTCTGACTGACAGCTAGTATATTGCTGTCTAGCTGACAGCTAGATTATTGTTGTCTGACTGACAGCTAGATTGTTGTTGTCTGACTGACAGCTAAAATGTTGCTGTCTGACTGACAGCTAGTAGCTAGTATGTTGTTGTCTGACCGACAGCTAGTATGCTGCTGTTGGACAGTTGACCAGTTACCTTCTTGAGCCTGAGGTTCTCGTCAGGGAAGAGCTTGTCGATGCTCTCTCGGAGGGCCGCCTTACGCTCCTCCTCCTCCTGGCTGTACTTGGCGTATAACTTGAGGAACTCGTCCAGGTCGATGGTGCCGTTGTCTGTGGGGGGAAACTCAGTGGATGAGTACAGTGATAAAAGTATGGGGGACATTCATGGTGAGTACATTGATAAAAGTATGGAGGAACATTATTGGTGAGTACAGTGATAAAAGTTTTGGGGGGACATTAATGTAGAGTACAGTGGTAAAAGTATGGAGGGGGGACATTATTGGTGAGTACAGTGATAAAAGTATGGGGGAACATTAATGGTGAGTACAGTGGTAAAAGGATGGGGGAACATTAATGGTGAGTACAGTGGTAAAAGGATGGGGGAACATTAATGGTGAGTACAGTGGTAAAAGGATGGGGGAACATTATTGGTGAGTACAGTGGTAAAAGGATGGGGGAACATTAATGGTGAGTACAGTGGTAAAAGGATGGGGGGACATTAATGGTGAGTACAGTGGTAAAAGGATGGGGGAACATTATTGGTGAGTACAGTGATAAAAGTATGGGGGAACATTATTGGTGAGTACAGTGATAAAAGTTTGGGGGAACATTATTGGTGAGTACAGTGATAAAAGTATGGAGGAACATTATTGGTGAGTACAGTGATAAAAGTATGGGGGAACATTATTGGTGAGTACAGTGATAAAAGTTTGGGGGAACATTATTGGTGAGTACAGTGATTAAAGTATGGAGGAACATTATTGGTGAGTACAGTGATAAAAGTATGGGGGAACAGTAATGGTGAGTACAGTGGTAAAACGATGGGGGAACATTAATGGTGAGTACAGTGGTAAAAGGATGGGGGAACATTATTGGTGAGTACAGTGATTAAAGTATGGGGGGGGGGATTTTTGTTGAGTACAGTGATAAACGAATAGGGGAACGTTATTGGTGAGTACATTGATAAAATTATATGTGTATTTTTGCCATTTGTTTGGAGTTATTTCAGATTTTATGATACCTTTAGTGCTCAATATAAAATTATGCTTTGGGTTAGGATTATAATAACCTATAACATTGGCGATTGTTCTATATATATACATTGGTATAGCAGGGCTTAAGATAAGTGCGCGGATTTTGGATTATTTAATTTTGAAGATTTTGTATTAATTTGGGTAAGACTTAGCACTTAGCCAATCGTTTAAGTTGAAGCTTTGCAATGGTTTTAGGTACGCGTTAGATTATATTTTCAGATGGGTACGTCTAAGCCAAGAGCCACCGTAGAACTTCATTCCCATTTAACTTACCGTCTCTATCCCCATCTTCGTACATTTGTTCCGCTTCAGTCGAGCTGACCACTTGACCCATCAGTCTAAAAATAAGCTTGAACCCTTTCAAGTCTAGCCGACCATTGGCGGCCTGTCGTTCAAAAATCTGTTGGATTCCTGGTGACCAAAGAGTTAAATTTTAACTTAACAATTGTAGAGATGATGTATCCGATATTTTGTTTTACCCCTACCGTTGTATTACCGGTAAATTCAATATTGACTAATCATTTATCCGTACGTTAACTTACTTTTGTAATCATACATGCACTTGGTACATAGAAAACCCACTATTACGATTTTTCAAGAAGTCTTAATTTAAACAAATTACAAAATTGTAGCCTTACTTTGCTTTGTTTCTTCTGAAAGTTCTTTGGGTGCTTGGACATGGGCTATAAAAAGACGAGTAATGTTTAAGGAAAATGTCTGTAGATAGCATGGAAGTAAAAACAAACCATACACTTCTACTAGCATGTCATGATTATTTTTTCCAGTTCGTGCCCAAGAAACAATTGGCCAGATGAAGTAGAGTTCATTTGTTTCAATGACCACAGCATACAGGGGCATTGTGTGGTCAACAGTATGTCCAGCCGCCTTAGATTCCCAAACGTTAGTTAGGTACCCATTAGAGCTGAGTGAATTTAGGTACCTCCTACAGATTCGAGCTTGGGATCCGAACTCGAGACTTTTGCGTTGGCAGTACTAACAGGTACAAGCTTATAATATTTGTCGGTTAATTTTTTAATAAATATTGTAATGCCCATACTATGTATAATTTACAAATATTTTTTATATTTGTGGATTTTTGTAGGTCCTGAGTTAATGACCATTGTAGGCATAACTAAAATACATTTTACAAATGAAAAACAAAGCATACATTTATTTTACACCATTAAACGATCATACATCAAACATACATATGATTTTTTAAATTATATTTTTACTTTCTGTGTTTTCCTCGTCAGCTTCCTCTGTCGTCTTTTCCTTATCGTCTTCATCTGCTGGGCTTGTTTCCTCTACAATAGTAAGACATAAAACACGTGATCAGATGCTTCAAGTGGGAAAAGTTAGCCAGTAGTGTTTTTTTAAACGAAGGGATACAAACAAAATTTGGTTATATCATAATAGAAAACATAATGTTATGCATTTTCGATGTTTTATAAATTTTTCTTAAAGAGAGGGACTTTAAAATAATGTAAATACATCATAACTTAAAACATAAATTTAGCTTATTGCTAAAACATTAAATGTTCTATCGCCACAAAAGCAACGCCATCACAAGGCGCAGGATGAGGGGGGGGGGTACCAATCTAATATACCGTAAGTCTGGAGTTGGATATCAAGATATGGTGTGTGATGATGGGTGCCTGTGTCTACATTACCAACATCTGTCTTGAAGGGGAGAAAGTGCCATTCGACTGCACTGACATGACAGTTCTTATAACTAACTTGATTCAGTGATAAACTTACAAACAGATGAACAGATAAGTTCTACTTCATCTGAAGAGTCCCGATGAAAAGAGCTGATTCGGTTAAAAAACGAGTACCCTGCATGATTTAACGAAACAAAGCATGAGCTTAACTAACCTTTCGTCACATCTGCCTCGACCTCTACAACGTCGTCCACCTTCTTATCTTCCGCATCTTCCGGTTCTCCGGCATCGTTTTCTGCCGGCTCATCGTTCTTTCCGGCATCGTCCTCCGGCTGCTCTTCTGTCGGGTTCTCATCTGCCTCTGTTCCATCCGCTCCTGCCTCCACATCTCCACCCTCCTCCTTTTCGTCACCACCCTCTGGCTGAGCGCCCTCTTCTGGTGCATCAGCACTCTCCTTATGTTTGGCACCCTCATCGTCATCGGCGCCCGTCGCTGGCTCATCACCTGCTTCAGCTGGGTCGTTAGCCTCGTTATCTTTCGGCTCATCATCGCCCGGTGTGTCTGTTGGTTACATTAGCATTTACTTAAGTACATTGCACAATTCGATGGAATAGTTTACTTAGGGACAGCCAAGAACTAAAGAGCTCTACATAGGATTCGATTTTCAATTTTGTAAAAATATTTTCTGAGTATAAAAATAGTTCTATGGCTACCAGTTTTTTTTAATTCTCAAAATAACTATTATAATTATTCTAATAGCTATTTTAAAAAATTAACTAATTAGGCCTATCTATTAACTTTTTTTTCATTTTTTTTTAAATTCTCAATATGTCTACACGCAGAGATTTAATGCTGATCTAATTTTAGCGTTCTAAAATTGTTGCTGTTATGCGGAGATATATTTCTCCAAACAAACATACCTTCATTAGCTAGGTCCGTTGTCTCAGCTACCTCCCCCTCATTCTTGTCTGGCGTTTGATCGGGCTCCTCCCCTCCCTCTGGGGTCTCGTTGTGCTCGGCGTCTGCCTGGGTTACATCACACACAAAATTAACATATGCAAAACACGTCACATTCTGCTAATCCTTCATCGATTCAATAATCCGGAAATGATGTAAAGTATCGCGAATTTTAAAGAATGTACAGTTAATTTTTTTTTACAAAGTATAGATAAAACTGATGAAACTTAATTAATTGTAAAAACCTGTCGACTTCTAGGTTTAATTACCATGTGTCTTAATATAATTTGATAAGTGCGTAAATTTATAAAGATCTCTAATACGTTTTTTGATAGATGACAGAAACATGTGGCCTCTACTTGCCTTAAGGTTATATACGTCATGTTTGACTATCGGGTCAAAAAGGGTAACGTGACTTAAGGTTTATATACGTCATGTTTGGTTGATCATCCCAAATGTCAGGTTCTACTTGTGGACTTAGAGCGAGTAAATCACAGGTTACAGTAAATTAATTAACGGGCGTCCATTAATGACGTCAAGATTTGGGTAAGGTGGTTAGATACTTTTGACGATGTGTGTGGGGGTGGGGGGCGGGAGGGGTAGGCGTCATCTTTAGAGGAGATCTATGTTTTACTACGAAGTTTGACGTTTGGAGTAGGGGGGGGGAGAACTTGTGAGAAACTATTTGTTGTTGTCATGGGCGATCTCTGCTTTGTTGGAGAGGAGGGGTCTATTTCTTATATAATTACATCGGGGGGGGGGGGGGGGGACTCGGGCTACATCTTATATTAGTACACAGTAAGGGCGACAAGTTTGAGATTTCAGATTGCTCAATTGATTGTAAAAGGGAGACAAATACGAGGTTAGACTCACGTTACTAAGATACTCATCACTCCGCTGGCGAGGTCGCTAGCTATCGCTAACTGAACAGCCGGAAGTTATGAACAATAGTCACGCATGCGCAGAATTTTAAAAGTGTTTTTTTTTTACTTAGAAGTCTGAGATTCTTTGATGGCAATGCTTTGATGGGCCCAATATTAGCTAATCAAAATTGATTTTGTTGCGACGTTTGATTGGTTATTGATTAACTTGGTGATTTAGTTCGATTCTTTGCGTGACTGGCCTAATTGAATAATTATTTGATTGCTTGATTGCTTCTGGTTTGGGTTGTGATAAGAAAGGACAACACTGAAGCTATGTTGTGCAAAATGTAAGGGAAAGCTCCGAGTTTCACCATCGGTAAGTGTTACAGGGTCATCATGACATCATGTAACGAAGGTGCTGATTGGTTGGGTTTTGTTGTGCTTTTTTGTGTATGATAGGACGGTAATAGTGGGGGACTGTGGTAATAGTGGGGAACTGTGGTAATAGTGGGGAACTGTGGTTATAGTGGGGAACTGTGGTTATAGTGGGGAACTGTTAATAGTGGGGAACTGTGGTAATAGTGGGGAACTGTGGTTATAGTGGGGAACTGTGGTAATAGTGGGGAACTGTGGTAATAGTGGGGAACTGTGGTAATAGTGGGGAACTGTGGTAATAGTGGGGAACTGTGGTAATAGTGGGGAACTGTGGTAATAGTGGGGAACTGTGGTAATAGTGGGGAACTGTGGTAATAGTGGGGAACTGTGGTAATAGTGGGGAACTGTTAATAGTGGGGAACTGTGGTAATAGTGGGGAACTGTGGTTATAGTGGGGAACTGTGGTAATTGTGGGGAACTGTGGTAATAGTGGGGAACTGTGGTAATAGTGGGGAACTGTGGGGGACTGTGGTAATAGTGGGGAACTGTGGTAATAGTAGGGAACTGTGGTAATAGTGGGGAACTGTGGTAATAGTGGGGAACTGTGGTAATAGTGGGGAACTGTTAATAGTGGGGAACTGTGGTAATAGTGGGGAACTGTGGTTATTTATGGGGAACTGTGGTAATAGTTGGAAACTGTGGTTATAGTGGGGAACTGTTAATAGTGGGGAACTGTGGTTATTTATGGCGAACTGTGGTAATTGTGGGGAACTGTGGTAATAGTGGGGAACTGTGGTAATAGTGGGGAACTGTTAATAGTGGGGAACTGAGATAATAGTGGGGAACTGTGGTTATTTATGGGGAACTGTGGTTATTTATGGGGAACTGTGGTAATTGTGGGGAACTGTGGTAATTGTGGGGAACTGTTAATAGTGGGGAACTGTGATAATAGTGGGGAACTGTGATAATAGTGGGGAACTGTGGTTATAGTGGGGAACTGTTAATAGTGGGGAACTGTGGTAATAGTGGGGAACTGTTAATAGTGGGGAACTGTGGTAATAGTGGGGAACTGTGGTAATTGTGGGGAACTGTGATTATTTATGGGGAACTGTGGTAATAGTGGGGAACTGTGGTAATTGTGGGGAACTGTGATTATTTATGGGGAACTGTGGTAATAGTGGGGAACTGTTAATAGTGGGGAACTGTGGTAATAGTGGGGAACTGTGGTAATAGTGGGGAACTGTGGTAATAGTGGGGAACTGTGGTAATAGTGGGGAACTGTGGTAATAGTGGGGAACTGTAAATAGTGGGGAACTGTGGTAATAGTTGGGAACTGTGGTTATTTATGGGGAACTGTGGTAATTGTGGGGAACTGTGGTAATAGTGGGGAACTGTGGTTATTTATGGGGAACTGTGGTAATAGTGGGGAACTGTGGTAATAGTAGGGAACTGTGGTAATAGTGGGGAACTGTTAATAGTGGGGAACTGTGGTTATTTATGGGGAACTGTGGTAATAGTGGGGAACTGTGGTAATAGTAGGGAACTGTGGTAATAGTAGGGAACTGTGGTAATAGTGGGGAACTGTGGTAATAGTGGGGAACTGTGGTAATAGTGGGGAACTGTGGTAATAGTGGGGAACTGTGGTTATTTATGGGGAACTGTGGTAATAGTGGGGAACTGTGGTAATAGTGGGGAACTGTGATAATAGTGGGGAACTGTGGTAATAGTGGGGAACTGTGGTAATAGTGGGGAACTGTGGTAATAGTAGGGAACTGTTAATAGTGGGGAACTGTGGTTATTTATGGGGAACTGTGGTAATAGTGGGGAACTGTGGTAATAGTGGGGAACTGTGATAATAGTGGGGAACTGTGGTAATAGTGGGGAACTGTGGTAATAGTGGGGAACTGTGGTAATAGTAGGGAACTGTGGTTATAGTGGGGAACTACTTTTAAAGATAATCAACATAGATGTGGATGTTTGCATTGATGTTCTACTCTCAATAAATGTAAGTCTTTGTTGTGGATTTCCTGGAGTAGTTCAGCCAGACAACCCACGGGCCACAAGTTCACCAAATTGAACTCATTTAACCCTAACTTAAGCCTCAACTCTATAGCCCTAACTTAAGCCTCAACTCTATAGCTCTAACTTAAGCCTCAACTCTATAGCCCTAACTTAAGCCTCAACTCTATAGCCCTAACTTAAGCCTTAACTCTATAGCCCTAACTTAAGCATCAACTCTATAGCCGAAACTTAAGCCTTAACTCTATAGCCCTAACTTAAGCATCATCTCTATAACTCTAACTTAAGCATCGACTTTATAGCGGAAAATTAAGCCTCCACTCTAGCCTTTATATTAATTCTAACCCAGCAGTGTAGAAAAAATATTTCGCTAAAGAGTACTGTCCTATTGCCAAGTTAGTAAAAATAAAAGGCGTTTGTACATTGGCCACACTATTTTTATATATGGCATTCTTAAGTGTAGTTTTAATTATTTATTTCATAATATATTCGCATCACACTATATACGCTATCAGTGTCTTGTATGTGGCGTCACAGGTAGACACTAACTACCATTCTCCACCTACCCCACCCCTTTTTTTAGTATCTTTCGTATTCACTTATTATTATTTGGAATTGCCTAAATTGCATGCCATAGCAACCAGTTTCTACCACAAAATGTCACTACCTTTCATCCGCGTCATCAATTCATTCATTCATTATCCCTTTTTCAGCAACATTCATTCATCATCATCATCTTTTCCTGTTCGTGTCAAAGACAGAGGGGGCAGATGATGTAGCTCATCTGTTTCAGAGACCTCGGCATATGAAATGTTAGTGTGGTCAGCACTATGCCTAGCCACATTTACTTTCCCTAACGTGAGTATAATACATAAAGATCGGTATCCTACCCATCAGCGCAGGGTAGAATCAGGGACGTTCTACTGTCTTGAGCCCGTATTCGAATTCCATACTTTCGGGTTAACAGTCAAGCTCTCTACATCTAGACCACTCCGTCCCCAACATTCACTCGCACCCACCAAACCCAACTCATAACACGTCCATGTATCGTATAAATGAACTTTTCCAAGATAAGAACTGTAGATCATAACTTCCACCTGTGAAAGTTATAGCTGTCGCCATTGTTGCTGGTAACTGACACAATTGTTGCTGATAAGTGACAACTATGCAGGTAATAACTGACACCTCTGAAACAAGTCAGTGTGTTCAATAAATTATTGAACCTCACACAACCACATATAGACTACTTGTGTTTAGAAACCTTGAGTTGTCTAAAAGACTGACCTATCGAATGTAATGTACTTTAAAGATACTAACCAGAATCATAAAATGCTAAGACGGAAAAATATCAGAAAAATTAAATACACAAACAAACTGTAAGACATGTATAATAAGACGGACGGACGGGCAGACACATGAACTTTAAACTTAGTTTTGATAAACAAGTCTAGTTGTTCAATACGGGCGGGTGTGGGGAAGGGTTGGAAAGGTGGGCAAGGGTAGGCTGAATGACAAAGCTTAAAGTTGTCAACATTGAGTGAGGTTAATTAAAATGTCAAACTAGGTTTATTAATTTTCAGGTTGTACAGGCATTTTAGGAGATTGAAAAATCGATACAAACGTTTAGTACCTGTCGCAAGATACAGGTAATTGTACACCCTCGTTGAGTGCCTGTCTAGTGCATACCGTTATTTAGCCCTAAAGTGCAATGACAAAAATCTAACATGCAGTGCCTCAGCCTTAACGTCCAGTGTCTAAACCCTAATGTCCAGTGAGTTAACCCAAACCTTCAATTACTAACCTCTAACGTCC